CATGCTTCTGGGACAACAAGAGTAGCTGGGGCTGAGCCCAGACTGGGACTCCAGAGTGGAACTTCCTTAAGGATGGGACAGGGTGCCAGCTGGCCTCAGACAACTGCCCAGGGCAGCATCCAAGGTTCAGTCAGCCTGGAGGGGAGATATCATGGAGTAGCTTCTCCAGTCATCAAACATTGCAGCCAGCTGGACCCCCAAGGAACCCAAAGGGACAAGAATTCCTGGGTTTCAGCCAAGGAAGAGTGTCAGTGTGGCCCGCCTAGCCCCTCCAGATGCTTTATATATGGAGCCTGTTGGCTCTCACCTCTGGTTCTTGGGTGGCTGTGGGTGACAAAGAGGTTTAGGTGTAAGGAATAGCCATCAGCTTAGCATCCTTCAGGTGGCTTTTCCTAATCAGGCTTGGATCAGCCAAGGGACCCATTAAAATTTATGGTACCCATTGAGAAACTGGCAGAGGTCCGAAGCATCCCAGAGCCAAGGGAGACACTGTCCTCCCCAGGCACTCCTGGGCTTCTGGAGGCCTTGGGGAAAGAGCAGAGTTCCTTTAAAACAATGATGGGCGTAACCACGACCAAGCAACTGGGGAGCAGATTGGGCGGCTGCCGGCTTGTGTTTAAGTACATTCCTAAGCTACGAAGGAAGAAATAAAAGTGGTCCCTTGTCTGAGAGCTGAAGAGACAGCAATATTGTGGTGTAACTAGGACCAGATGGGCCCTGAGAATTTCCAAAGGCGTTTAGCATATTAGACAAAATAGCCTTGCAGACACACGCCATAACTGTGTCTGGCTGCCTACATATCAGTTATGGAGACAACAGACCAGCAGGCTGTGCCTTGGCTGGAAGGCAGAGAGTATCAGCCTCTGATTGGGCTTTGCCCATTCCCCTCTGCCCAGCATAAGCTCCCTGGACATGGCCCCATCACCACAGCCTAAGAACAGCAGAGTCACAACTGTAAAGGGGCTGGCAAGGTTTTTGAAGCTGCCTAGCCAGACTGGTCCAAAGGCCCAAATCTTCCATTGATGCACTTATTGGGGTACAGGGAGCCCATGTTCCCCTGGGCACTTGGGTGGTGCTAGAGCAAGCATAGCAGCTCTAAGATACCTGGACTCTTCCACCCTGGTCAGGAGACCAACAGTTCCCATTTAGCAGATACGGGAATAAAGCCACTTCATATGTCCCCTGACATACAGGGGTGCCTCAAAGCCAGACCACTCCATTTGCGACACTCTCCAGACAGTGCTGAACATAAGGGTGTCCTCCCACTCCAAACAGGATTATTTTTGGTCAATATGGTAAGAACTGAGTCCTTTTGGTTGGTGTGCCAGGCATCAGGGGACCAACAGGCCCAGGTGGTCATGAGGGAAAGCCTGACCTCTGCCTCCCTGTGGTCTCTAGTGCCTACTTGGGACAAGGCTCCCCATCTCTTTGTGCCTCAGAACCCCTGACTATGCATGAAATTGTCCTCATTTGCTTTCTGTTACTATGATAAAATACTGACCTAAAACAAACTGGAGAAGAGAGGATTTATTTCAGCTTACAAGTCATAGTCTGTAGCTGAGGGAAGTCAGGGCAGGAACCGAAGCAGACACCATGGAGGATGCTGCTTACTGGCTTTCTTGGCCATCTTACACAGTATAGGCCTACCTGCCCAGAAGTGGCAGCACCCATCTACAGGCCAATCTGAGGGAGGCAATTCCTCAACTGAGTTCCATCTTCCCAGTGACTTTAGTTTGAATTCAGTTGACAAAAACTAGCTTGCATAGAGATTCGGGGTCTTGAGGGTCCCTTCCGTGCTGACCCTTGTCCTGTTCTTGGATTGTTTCAGCAATGCAGTAGCTGGAGTCCCGCCCACAAGAAACACTGAGTATAGTCTATGGTCTAGCATCCAGCACAAGGCCCGGAATCCAGAACATCAGTTAGGAGTCACTGAGCTCTGCACTGCTGGAGGTTAAGGCTGATCTACCCTGTCAGTGACCCAGGTCAGATACAGTTTTGGTGCCTAAGTGGGTTTGTTTACCTGTCAATCTGAGAACCTGAGAGACTGGTACTTACATATCCCCATTTTACAAATGGGAAACTGAGGCACCAAGTGCTCTCTCTGTCTCTGTCTCTGTCTCTGTCTCTGTCTCTCCCTCCCTCCCTCCCTCCCTCCCTCCCTCCCTCCCTCCCTCTCTCTCTCTCTCTCTCTCTCTCTCTCTCTCTCTCTCTCTCTCTCTCTCTCTCTCTCTCTCTCTCTCTCCTGCTGTCAGTCATGCTCACCCATTCTGAAAGGGAGCCACTGTCTCAGGACAAGCAGTGTGAACAGTGGCTTCTGGGTGGGATGGACAGCAGGGCCTGAGGTGAGGACATTGCCTGCCTGGTCTCCTTCACCATCAAGCCAAACCTGAGAATGAAGGAGTTAATGCTTACATTGATGGGGTACAGCATGACCCCACCCTCCTGCCACCCCCAAACCGACTTGGAGCACAAGAGGGAAATCCCGGGAGGTGGGGACTGGCAGAGCCCAGAGTCAGGATGCCCATAGTGTTACTGGGACGTCTCTGCCTCCCAGAGGCCTGTCTAGTTACAGAGCAGAGGCCACCTATGTCCTCCCAGAGCCGTGAATGGAAGCTCAGGTGATCGTCAGGCCTTCTGGTCCTCTGCACATAGCCACCTATGGGCCTATGTGCACCTTTGCAGCTGCCTGCTTCATTTCTGGAAAAACCATCTCCTGGTACTATAAAATGTCTGGCTGACAGGCAGCTCACCCTTCAGAGAGCCTGGTGTGTTTTCCACATGTAGCTTTCAAAAGTGGCAACCCCCTGCACTCAGCCCTATAACCCCACCTCCACCCAGGGCCATCCTGGTTAACATTTCTCCAGGCTACCCAGATGATCTGGGCCCCGGGGGTGTTGCCACCTGCCTCTCTTAGGAGCTGGTAGGGACAGAAGAGGGGTTACAAGGAGACTATATCTCACCAAGACATTTTTTCAGAGACCCGGCTGTGAGAAAAAGCATCATATTAGGGTCAGATGGCATGGATGCATTCCTCTCCCTATGCCCTGATTGTAGCCATGAACATGTTACTTTATGCCTGTGTTCTTATCTGGAAAATGGTGCAGAGGAGGCTGGGCTATGAAAGAGTGGCACGTTCACTCCTGTCTTTGAGTTCTCTACTAGGGACCTGCTAGGCTAGACTTGGGGTACCCTGGCAGGGACCCTACAGCTGGGCACTGCTACTCCTACCCCACAGAAAGAGAGCTGACTCCAGACAGGAGATCCCTTCTCCCTGTCTCAGACAGCTTGGTAGGCAGGCAGGACACTGCACTGGGGTCTGAGGAGGCCACACCCAGGCAACACATGCTTAGTGCCAGGCTCTGGTTGCCACCCATGTCACCCTCCTAGACACACACACAGCTACTCCAACTCTGCCAGCTTAAAACGAGGAGGCTGCCAAGGCCTCCACAACCAGGCTCAGACCAACAGGGCTTTGCAGGAAGTGACCAAGCTCTAAAGTCTACCCAACCTGGGGGCACAGAGGACTCCACTCACAAACTGGGGTGGGGGGCACTCCTCATGAGAGTCATACGTGGGTGTGGCATCTGAGCTGCTGTGAACTGAAGGTACCAAGGACTGATGTCTCTCCAGGTTCTTTCTCCCCAGGGCCCTGGGGGCTCCAGTCAGTCTTTGCCCTTAATCACAGCAGCCTCTGCAAATGTCTACATATTCTCCTAGGGGTGTTTCCTTTTTATTCTTTATTTCTGTTTCTCTAAGCCAGGCTCATTTGTAGCCAAGAATGGCCTAGAACTCACCATGAAGTCCAGGCTTACCTTGAACTGCCAAATAAATAATCCTGCTTCAGCCACCTGAGTGCTGGGATTGCAGGCCCAGCTAACATGATTTCATGTTTTGTTTTCTTGGAGAAAAGTTCTCTTGTAGCCCAGGCTGGTTTCAAACTTGATTTGTAGCCAAGGATTTCCTTGACTGATCCTCTGTCTCCATCTCTTGAGAACTGAGATTACAGGAGTGTAAGACCACCCCGATCTTATACAACACTGGGAATGGAGTCCGGGAACTCATGAAAGTTAGGCAACTCTACCAACTGAGCCACACCACCAGCCCTCCCCTGGAATAATGTGCAGACAGCAATATACATGGGCCCCACGTTTGAACACTTGCCTCCAGTGGGCGTGATGCTTCTGTTGATACATGCTTCTGGGTGCAGCAAAACCCACATGGTGTCTTGTTGAGAGGCATTTGGACAAGTCTGTTTGCAACCCCCATTATACAAACAAGGAGATAGTTTACAGACTACTTGAGCCGAGACCTTGGTTCAGATCCTCACTCTTCCACTTCAGCACTTTCTTCAAGGAGCTAACTAACCCCTTCCTGCCTGTTTCTGTACCTATGAAATGGGTACAAAATGGTAAATCCTGACACCCTGAACCAAGGCCTGGCACTTTGTGGGGTTCTGTCCATGGCAGCCTTTGTCCATGTGCTCACACCCTCCTACCCCATGTATCTCATCACATTTCTCATCCAGCTGTGCTACTGGTGCATCCTGGTCACTCTCCCAAGCTGACACGTTTCGGTCTTCTCTGCCTTCTGGGAGGCCCACCCTGGGCCAACATATCCCTGTGTGTTTCAGCTGCTTCACAGGTCTGTAGGACCCCTCTACCCTTTCCCTCACTGGGCTCCGCAGAGCCACCGTCCCAGTCCAGATCTGCCTGCCTGTCACCCCTCACTTCCCCAGATCCCAACCCCAGTGATCTTTATCACCAGAGATGCCACAGCTTCTCTTACTGGTGAGCATCCCCTGCCCTTCACGCTTCCACAGCTGACAGAAAAAGATTACAACCCTGCTCCTTACTCGAGAGATATGTGGCCTGGGGCAAACTCCTCACCCTCCTGGGGCCTCAGTTTCCTTATCTGCTGAAATGGGGATTGTGGCACCCATAGACCTCCATCGATGGAAAAAAATAACAACACATCTAGGGCAGCTGCCCTGGTCAAGTGTCTGGATTGGTGAATTTTGAATCTTTATTTCCAGTGGTCCTCAGGAGGCAGGACGGTCTACCTCAGAACACAGCAACAACCTGGAGCCTGAATGACATTCTGACAGAAACTCCACAATGGCAAACTGCTGTCACCACTCCCCAATGTCCTGGGAGATACCTCCAGTCAGATGTGGAGAGGCCATGGCAGAGGGGTACACTGTGGGGTCTGGTCCAGGTCGGTGGTTTGGACAACTGATGACTTTGGCATCCTCCCCACTCCAGCAGAGGGAGTATGAAGGATGCCATGGAAGCTGTGGGAATACCCCACATGGTAATGAACATGACTCCTGTAGTTGGGGCAGATGCAGGGCAGGAGAAAGCCCAGCTGACCCACATCCTCCTACCCGTGCCTTCGGGAAAGTTGGCAATCACTGGCTAGGGGTGGGTCTTTCCTGCCTAGGTCATGGAGAGCCCTGGCTGTCCCCTTTGTGGTAAAATAGCCAGAGGGCAAGTAGGCCTTGGGGCCACAGACAGAGATGGAATCTGTCACGTTGGGTGAGGCCAGCGGAAACTGTCACTCAGGGTCTGTGCAGCCACTGATCTTAAATGTCACCTTCGCTGTCCTCCCTCCAGGAAGTCCCACCTCGGGCTAGCTTGGCCACCAGCCTCCACATGACTCCTACTTGCTGGGCCTCACCGCTTCTCCTCTCCATCCTGTTTGGCAGCCTCTTAAGAGCTCCAGTTTGGAGGGTCACTACTGAGCTAAACATTCCCCCCAAACTTGCTCCCATGCTGAACGAAGGAGATTACTGCCCGAGTGGGGTCTGGGGCATCCTCAATGCCCCACCCTATCATCATAGAGGGGCTTGGAAAAATATAGGTCTGGACCTTGATTTATTGAGAGGAACCCAAACTGGTGAATCTCAGCCTTCTTCCCTAGGCCTCCACATCCTTACCAGGAACTCCTGCCTGTTGGCTGAGAGCCCAGCGCCCCCTGGAGGCCTGTTATGGAAACTTGCCTCAGACCTGTGGGCACCATCACCCAGGGGAAGGCCCTCTCCAGACTGAAGTGAGGGAGTGAACCAACCAGGTCAAGGATGGCCCATCTTCTGGCTGATCTGGACAGCAGGCTACCCTACCCCAGAAGTCCCTCCCTGCAGCTGGAGCTAAGCCGTCCTCTCTGACTCTTCATGACCTGTCTGCATCCCGTGTGGGATCCTCCCTGGGACTCAGCTCTTCCACCCCAAGGCCCAGAGACCCTTGGGCACCTGGTGGGGAGTGGAGGAGCGGCCAGCAAGGCTGGCTCCTGCTCTTCCTGCCCCTCCACGCTCACTGGCAGCTGTCTTCACAGCAACAAACACAGGCGGGTGGGCGGGTGGAAGGGGTGGGGGACAGGCATGGTAATGTTCTGTGGGTAGCCGTCAGGGCACAGCACAAGGAAGCAGGGGGATGTTTGAGCTCTGTGCCGAGACGCAGGGAAACTCAGGCCCAATGAGCCCCAGGTCATGCAAATTGAGGATGGAGTCGGCGATTATACGGGCTGTTCGCTTCTGGTACCCACCCGAGGTTACCATTAGGATGGGTATATCGTGGGCTCGGACCAACCGGAAAACCACTTCATCCCGCTTCACAATGCCCTGTGGGAAGACAGAGAGGGTGAGCTCAGACGGGCCTAAGTTCCCATGGGGTCAAGAGGTACTATTACAAGTCTAGCCCTGCTCTGAACTGCTGCGGTTTTAGCTCGTCTCTCTGAGACATAAAACTGCCTGTATTTTCTGCTGCTGCCAAACCTCAGAGCATGGTTTTCCTGCCCTACCAGTGCCAGAACACACAGCTTGGCGGACAGACAAAGACCCAAAATGGTCCCCAGGATCCAGATTCCGCAGATGATGGACACATGTCCTAGGTGGCCCTGGAGTCAATGTTATGGTTTGAATATATGCGCCCCATAGCTTCATGTGTCTGAATGTTCGGTCCCCAGCTGGGGATGCTGCCTCAGAAGGTTCTAGACCTTTAGTTGGCAGAGCATGCTGGAGAAAGTACATCACTCCTGGTAGATTTTGACATTTTGTACCTGGCCCTACTTCCTGTTCTTTCTCTCTGCTTCCTGTGTGCAGATGAAATGTGGTCTCTCTGCTTCCGGACTACGCAGTCAGCCTCATCCTCCTGCTGCTATGCCTTCCCCACCATAATTAACCATATTCAACTGTGAGTTGAAATGAACCCCTTCTCCCCTAAGTTCCCATGTTCATCAGAGTAATTTATCACAGCAACATAAAGTAGCTAAAACGGTCAGAATGCAACCCTGGCTACGGGCAAACCCTCAAGGTGGCCCCCAATGTTAGGACATACCGCTGGGCTGATGGACAGCCCCCCAAGACGGTCCCCCTCGAGGACGTCTGTGCCTGCGTTGTACACCACCACATCAGGCAGATGCTCCTGGAGGGACCGCCTCACATTCCTCTCCACTTTTTCCAGGTATTCCTCATCTTCCGTGCCCCACTCCAACTCCACCTTCCGCCTGATGGCCTCTGGGAAAGAGACACAAATAGCCCCAGTACAAAGCAGGAAAAATGCGGCTGAGGATGGGAAAGATGTGGGGACTTGTTGATGCCAGTGGCAGGACAATCTCCATCTCAGTTTGGTCTCTCATTTCTCCAAAGCTGAGCGGCAAAGGGGTCCACACGGCACTACAGGTGATTAAAGCTGAGGCACTTCAGCCTTGAGGGCCTACAAACCTATCCTCAGGTCCTACCAACAAAGAACACCCCCTACATATTCAAGCCCAGGCTCCCACTAGTACAGAGTCAGCTTAGGCAGAACCAGTGATGCACTGTGCAGAAATGGCCTCACCATGTTTTCATCTTAGATGTCTCCCCCAAAGGTCCGTCTGTTGAAAGCTTGGTGCACTGCACCTTTAAGAGTGGAGGCAGTGCTGTTACCAGGGAGTGATATATCAGGAACATGTGTCTTCATGTGTCTCTTTGCCTTCAGCCATCATGACACGAGCTTTGTCCTACCACATATATAGTCTCGGTACCCTATAACATGACAGGCCCAAAGCAACTGGGCCAATGAACATAGACCAGGATCTTGAAGCCATGGGCCAAGGCAAATCTTTGCTTCTCTCAAGCTGTGGGCCAGCTCCACTCCAAGGTTGCTGCTGACCTTGGTAGTGGCCCCATGGTAGTGGCATCTTCAAAACTATGCCGTGTATTCTGTCATGGAGACAGGAAGCTGGCTGAGAATATACTACCTGTGGAGTGGACAGGTTGATGATTTCAAATCAGGTCTCAGAGCCTTTGGGTTATGCACTGAGTCCATTTTTCTGATTTTAAAACTATTGTACTATATTTTAATTACATGTATATGAAGATGCATACATTAGTACAGTGCCTGCAGATGGCATCAGATTTCTTGGAGCTGGGATAACAGGTGTCTGTGAGTCACCTGATCTAGAAGCTGAAAACTGAACTCAGCCATTTCCTAGCCCTTATTTTTGGTACCAGGTCATGGGGGTACTGCTGCTACAGGTTTTGGGACGATTGTAACAACATTTTAACTTTGGGCTGGGAAAGCTATTGAGTACTCAGTGGCTCAGTGTGAGGTTCTGTGGGAGCTTGGTAGACAAGAGTGGTAGTTTGTTTTTTTTTTTTTCTCCATGAAGGGGTCATGGAGAAAAGCTGAGGCGTGGTACCATGTGGCAGGATAAGAGACCCTGAAGAGGAACCAGGAGAGGCTATTGGTGAAGGTGAACCCAGTCACAGTGTAGACTCCAGAATTTTGAAGATCCTAGTACCATGGTGAGCAGCAGCTGTGGAATAGAGATGTCATGATCCTAGGACACAAGCTGTGTATACTGCAGAGGCTGGAACTGGGAACATGGCCTAGGCCCCTGAACCCAGAGGATTGTGGTGAGTCCCAGATACACTGAACTTTTTATACTGTTGAATTTTGGTTTGGCTTTGGTCTGATTGTCATTGTGCCCTGGCGCTTCCCTTCCAAAGTAAAAGAGGAAAAAAGTGTTTAACTTACTTTGATTTTATAGGAACCCAGTTATCAAACTGTAGATAATTTAGAGAAACTTTGGAGTTTTAGAGAGACTCAGATCTTGGAAAGACTTTGGGTATTTTGAAGAAACTCTGAAAGGGATTTTGGATGTTTTAGACACTGGATTTTTTTAAGTGCTTGAATTTTTAAAGACTGGAACATTTAAAAGTCGGAAACTTTTATAATGTGATACTAGTGTTAACATGCCATCCTGGGGACAAACGAGAAAGGAAAGGCTATAACTGAATAGTGATGTGTTTCTGTGTCTAGTCGACAAGGTGTCAGTTGTGTTGGCTTGTTTTTGTGGGTGATACCACTCCTGGGCAGGTGGTCCTGGGGTTTAAGGAAAGAAGCTGAGCAAGCCAGGAGGAGCAAGCCAGTAAGCAGCACTCCTCTATGACCTCTGCTTCCGTGCCTACCTCGAGATTCGATTCCTGCCTTGAGTTCCCACCCTGACCCTCATAATGGACTAAATATAGTGTTCCTGTCCCTCAAGTTCCTTTTGGTCATGGTTGTTTTGCAGTGATAGAAATCTAACTAAGGTACAAATCTTCTGAGCTTACTGCGGCCATCCTTATGTTTTCTATCTCTCTCTGTGTGTTTCTGTCTCTCTCTGTCTCTGGCTCTGTCTCTGTTTCTCTCCCTCTCTCTCTCTCTCCATGTAAGCTCACCTCTAATGTGAAGCCTTTGTGTATATTTCCCAGACACTTTTCTATGGTCTCGGGGGTCAAGTGACTCTCTCAGGTCTCCGTGTGCTTGTGGGTACAGTGGAAGCACCCACTTCATGGGAATACTAGAGATAAATGAGGTGACACAGCCACACCCACCAAGTACACACTGAGGGCAGAGTGAAATTTACCTTTAGCGAAGCGGTCCCCAGGGTAGATGTGACGGTTGTAAACGTCCATGATGTATACACGCCTGTCACCCATGAAGTCTCGCTCATGGCCATTGCCCTGTGGGCAGATGCAATTGTCACTGAAGGCAGCTGGTCTCGGGAAGGGGGCTCTCCAACCACCATAGGAACTGCCCCCTGCTGTGTGTGCTCTGTGTTGTGGGCTAGAACTTGGGGACCTAGTGTTAGACAGCTGAGCTGGACACTCCAGACACAACCCAGTAGCCTCCTTCAGAACCTGCAGGATGCCCAGCCCTGCCTCTCACCCTCTCTGTGAAACAAGGCAGGATCTGGTCCTGCTACCCTCTTGGCTCTGCAGGGGTATCAGGGTTGATGGACAGCAAACTGTAAAGGACTGTGTATGTGTGACTTGGGTTTACTTGGAGCACAGTATGTATGGGTCAGAGAGAGCAGTTGGGGATGTTGAGGGTATGAGTGGGCAGCAGGAGGTAGTGTGACCCCTTGGGTTCCAGGTTGGGGGCAATGAGGAGAACCTGCCACCCTAGCTGGACTGAGCTGCCAACAGGGAGACTAAGACAGACCATAAGTCTGCACCTTGAGCAAAGCAGATTCAACTGTCTGAAGCACACTTGGGGACATTTCCAGAAGGAGGGCACCCCGCTGTATGGGGCTGTATGACAGACAGGCTGCCAGGGACATGGGAGAACTCTCCCACCACAGGAAAGTGCTGGGGCTGGGCTCCTGCAGAGTGCTCACCTGGTGGGCATCGAGATCAATGATGGTGGCCCTGGAGATGCCTTCCACCCGCTCAAACAGGAACTGCCAGCGAGAGAAGAGGTGTGAGGACCACACAGCCAAGGGACCCAGCCCTCTGGGGATAAGGGGTTGAGGGATCAGGAGGACAGTGGGTAATACATTGCTTTCCCAGGAGTGCTGGGATGCCTGGAGAAGTATGTGTGTGTGTGGTGGCAGCAAGGTGGGGGGTTGGTCAGGGAAGGTTCTGGGGGCAGGCAGTATATTATGACCTAAATGCTGAGGGATCAGGTCCTGGATCCCCTGGGGAATGTGAGGGTTGACAGATGAGCCCCAAAGTCTTGGAATTTAACTCCCCAAACTTGGCCTCATTCTACAATGCTAAATCCTGATGCCTCTTCCCCTCCAAGTACTCCTGTGCCCTGTTCTAACTGCCAGGCCAACTGACAGTCCATCTACATGCCTGTGAGAACAGAGACCCCATTAGCCTGGCACCCAGCATGAGACTGGGCAGAGAGCATGTGGTGGGGGGGCAGATAGGGGGTTTCACAGTCTTTCATTTGGGCAAACTCCCTTCACTCCGTTTCCTCATTTCAGTGCTCAAGGGTTGGGGTGTCCAGGTTAGGATAGGAAATCACAGAAGCTGTCCTGTTGTCTCCTTGCCCCTCCCCTTCCTCCCCTTCTCCCTCCCTCCTGCAGCCATGTCCTTCTTCCTGTCTATAATCCTGAAACCTGCCTGTCCCTCCACCCACCACCCACTCTCAGCAGAGGCTGCCAATGCTCCCTCCTGTCACAGACAGGCCCTCTAGTGGCAGGAATGTGCCAGATGCACTGGGAGGAAGCCCCTCTCCACTGTGAGCCCAGTGCCTTCCCTGGAGGGTGTGGGAAGCTACGGAAAGCTGTGGGGGAGGGCATTAGAAGTAAGGTACCTAAGGGTCAGACACACCTTGATAGCTAGTGTAATGTCTGCATAGGCACAGAAGCCTCCGCCACGGTCACTGGAGCAGTGGTGGAAGCCGCCACCTGCAGAAAGGCAGAGGGTAGTAACGGTCAGAGCCAGGTCCAGATGCCCTCTAATCCCTTCCATGCCCATATCCCCCTCCTGCTGGGATTCCAGGTTGGCCAAATGAACAGCACACATGGGCATGTTATCAGTCCAGACCAAGAGGTAGCTCCATGCCAAAGCCACCCACAGAAAGGGCCCCTCCCAGGGAGACCCAGCCACATCAGCCAGCTGAGTTACCCTTGGGCTCCCATACCAGGAAGGGGCAGCACCAGCAAGCTTGCCTTGGACCCAGGTTTTCCTAGTAGTGGACACAGATGACTGGGAAGGAGACCTTTTTCTGGCCAGCTATTCATGCCACCCCAAACCCTAAGATAGTCTGGGAGTCCTTCTTGATTTGGACCAAAGAGATGCTGTTGCCAGTCTTCTGTTAGAATGGCTAGTAAGCTGTTATTGACCCTGTATTCCACGAGAACCTTCTGGAATGGAGATACAAAACTAACCCCACCCCCAGCAGTGTAAGGTTGGGGCCACACACATGATGGACTTGCCTCTTCCCCTGGGGACCCTAGTAGGTTTCTCTAGAGAGCTTGGTGACGCTTCTCTATAGCCGAGAAGAGAGCTCCGTCTTCACCAGTATCTTTTACAGATGAGCTGCCTCAGGCACAGAGAGGATCAACAACTTGCCCAGAGAACACAACTAGCAAATGGCAGCACCATCAGTGAAAGCCAGACTTGATCAGGACCCAGATGCTCAGCTTTAACCATACCCTAGTTTCTATTGTAGACGTGTCCTCCATGAACTGGGAACCATGTTACAGACACACAGGGCATGGATCATGCATGTGTTTGTGCAACTGGGTATCCTAACACCATGGCTACACCAGGCCTAATGCTAGGGACAATTCAAGCAAGAAAAAAACAGGCTCCTGGCCATGCAGAATTCACAAAAAATGGCGCAGGGCCTCGCACAAGCCAGCACCTTCTCACTATATTCAATTCCTCACAAGACAATAATAATGGAACAGCAAAGGAAAGGCTGCTAGAGGAAAAGGTTCTTCAGTTGTCAAGGGCTGTGAAGACAGATTGCAAGGGTCACACAGCCCAAGGAGCTGGGGAGCACTAGCCCTCAGAACCTGAGGTACTGAGCCTGGACCTATCCACTCATCACATGACTAAGACCTATCCACTGGCCTAGACCCCAGAAGGATGGAGTCTTTCAGGACAGTCAAATGGGGACAGCTAATTCCACACAGACATGCTCAGGGGATATGCCCAGGGACCTTCCTAAGGGATGGCACAGGCTCTCTGGGTAGGAGAGGGCTCTGTCATTAGAAATATGTAAATGTTGGGTAGGGGCATTCTCAGAACAAATGTCCCACAGCAGATAGAATCTGGTGGGGGCTTCAGAGGAACAAAAATGCTTAATACTCACTTCACAGCTACTGAACTGGCTCTGAGGGCTTTCCTGTCCCTCTGTCCCCACACCCTTTCCAGCTCCACCAAGCCAACCAGACATTCTGAAGCCCCAGTACTCACCAACATTGATGGCCCAGCCTCGTTCCACAGCCAACTTCCCTGCCTTTGAAGACAAGCAGAATGTATGAGCTGAGGCCTCATCCTGGGGCAAGCAGGCACTCACCCCATCAATATAACCTCTGGGGCAGGCACAGGCCACAGGTGGAATCAGGAAACACCCTCCCTACCCCTCAGCAGACAAGCAGCAAATTTTGTCAGGCCAATGGAGGAAAAGAACCAGACTGCCAGTGTGTGGAAAGGTTCGGGGTGGCCCTCCTGTTTTCACAAGGAAAACACCAGAAATTCAAGTTAAGTGAGCTGAGGATTCCCAAGTGACCTTCAAATGGAAAAGAAACAGTCTGCTTGTGGAAATGTCATAGGCTGGTGGCCAAAATCCTGCAGGCATCCAGGGTGAGTGGCAATACAAAATTTGGCAGTGTCAGAGGGCAATGGCCCTGTTGACTCAGACACAAAGTGTCCCTCAGCCAACTCTCCAGCCTGCGACTAGTGCTACTGCAGAATACACGTTTGTTGGGTTACAAACACAGTAACTCTAATTGTTGTTAGGTAGGGTAGGACCCTACAGGGCAAAGTGGGGTGGGGGCCGGGGGCTGCACACCCCACCCAGCCTACCATGATGGTGCCTCCAGTCTGGGTCCGCAGAGGCCTCAGCACCTTCCTCTGCACAAGGAAGTTGGGGAGAAAGATGACTGGGGGTATCTCAGTGATGGTAGCCACCACGAAGGACCACTGTGGAAAGATACATGGAAGTCAAACTTGGTGCCAGGTTTGGGGCATGGTAGCTCCCTGCTCTGTATACTGTCTTTGTTGGGGAGTGACAGCTGTGAGCTACCTTGCACTCCCAGGTTTGAGCTTGGGCACAGTGAAGTTGATGTTGGTGTTCTGAGGCACTCCTCTGCCCTCTTGTGCTCAGAAAAGGGACTGCAGGTTGCTCTAAGGTTAAGCCTGCACGTGGCTCCTCAGCAAGTACCAGCAGGGCCTTGGCTCTTGCGCCAAGTACTTTCTATGTACTTAGGGCTTGTGAGACACCCAGGTAGGCTTGGGGTCCTGTCTTGTTCTGGGACACTTGTAGCCATGGCTAACAAACCAGCAGGTGCAATGATCCATCTTCGTGGGAAGGAGAGGGCCTTGTGGAGAATCTACAGAATCTACAAGAGTCCCCAGATGCAGGAATTAGGCCAAAGAGGCAATTTAGGGCAAAGAAGTGAGTCCGGGAATGGCAGAAGCTGGGCACAGCAGGGCAGGGTAGATAAGTTTCTCCATTTGTTAAGGACCTGGTCTCCTAACAGACTCACAGCATAGCAGAGACACAGAAAAACAAAAACCAGAACTAAAAACTAAACACACAGGGAGCCGGAGTCCATATCCAGATAATGGAGATACTTTGTTACTTTTCCTGCACTTTCACGCACAAGCCTCCAATCCTGCCTGGCATTGCAGAAGCCTGATTTGATGTGTCTAGCACTCTTCTGCTCTGTTCTTTTACCCTTGTTGGAGACCTGATCTCTCTACTTATCCCTGAATGTCCAGGTACGATGTAGACCAGGCTGACCTCCAACTTAGAACCACCTGCCTTTGCCTCCTGAAGGCTTCCATTAAAGGCATGTGCTACTACACCCTGCTGCTTGTTGTTGCTGTTGCTATTATTATTCTACAGACAGTTGTTACTTCCTTGCTTGCCCCAAGATCTACTGGGACTTTGGGCCCATGTGTAAATGAAGTCATGTTTACATGGAACCTGGGTGCATCCTCATGCATAAATCATGCCTAGATTAACTATGACGCAGACTCTGTTACCACTCTGAGAGAAGTTTAAGCCATAGTTTAGGGAGTAACACAAGGAATTTGTGTGTTAAGATGGACGCAATATTCTTTTTGGAGTATTCTCCTTCTGTGGATGGTTAAACCTGAGAACAAAGGATCCAAATATATGGACTCTTGATTGTAGTTATGAGTCAGTTCTGAGCTAAAAATAGTGTGGTGGTGCATGGCCTCCAGCCCAGGTTGGGATGTGCAGGCAGAAGAACAAGGAGTCTAAAGCCAACCTTGGCTACACAAGACCCTGTCTCAAACGAACAAAACAAAAATAGACATGCTTAATTAAAATCTCACGCCTCGGTTACTTCGGGCATATTTCAAATGCTGGCCAGCCACTGTGGCCAGCGATTGGATGGAGCAGATCAAGGATGCTCCCATCACAACAGCTTTATCAGGCAGCACTGCTCTGGGGAAATAAAAAAACACAAACTGTTGGTGACTGAATAAAACGTTGGTGCATGGGTGAGGCTGCCTGTGGCTCTGAACCAGGGAGATGGTAGTTACAGCGATGGGGTGAGTGGCTATAGAGCCTGAAAGTGACATTGACACAGGGTGAGCAGCAGAAGACAGAGCAACTGAGAAGGGCATTGGTGTGGAGGGGACAGCATGGGACAGATATGATTATCTGGGATGTGCAGCAGGTTAATCAGGGGACAGCCCAGATTTTTAGGCATAACCTACCCAGAATGCCTTGTGACAAACCTGGTCAGGGCAAGGGCTTAGGGATGGTTAGGCTGGATGCAGGGCCAGGGCAGGGCTCTACCTCAGCTGTATGGTTTGAGATGTAGCCCTTTCCCTCTGTGCCTGCCTTCCTATCTGCAAAGCGGGGACTGGAACCAGGGTGTAGCTGTGGAACCCTGCTGCAGAGGTCTGTCCTCACCTCCATACAACACTGTCCTGGCTGCCCAGAGGCTATACTAGAGCTGCACACCACCGCCAGAACACGGGCATCCCTATCCAAGGCTACATGACATCTGTGTCTATCCCCTTTAGAGTTATGAGTTAATAAAACTTGCCTGGGGATCAGAATGCAAAGTTAGCCACACTAGCTAGCCATAGAGGCCAGGAAGTGGTGGTACACATCAGGACTCAAGAGACAGGAGCAGATGAATCTCTGTGAATCCAAGACGAGCTATACAAGAGTGAATCAGTCTAAAGAGTAACAGAGCTCACGCCTTTAATCCCAGCATGGGGAGGTATAAGGAAGAAGCAAAGGGTCTCATGGGAGATTCAGTTTCCAGTCACAGGGAAGACAGGGTTTCCATTTCAACCTTGGTAGAGGTAAGAGCTACTTGCTGGCGCTTTGCTTTTTTTTCTCCAGCTTGAACCCCAGTATCCATCTCTGGGTTTTTATTATTCATCTTACATATTGGCGACCTAAACTAAAACTGCCAGGCCTGGAGGCCCAAGCCTGTAAGTCCTGCTGCTCAGGGTTGAGCTCAAAGATCATGAGCTCAAACCAACCTTGTCTCAAAATTAAAAAGGCTTTTTATTATTATTTTTAAGGAGGGAGGTTGATGATGTAGCTTAGTAATAAAATGCTTACCTGGGTTTGCACTTCAGTATGGAGAAAATTAAGTAACTAAAAAGTGAGAAAAAAACCCTAAACTCACAGGGACCCCTGGGTTCTATTACTTTTTTCTTCCACTGCCAATCAGGCCAATCCAATGCTTTGCTTTGTGTTGGGGTTGTAGATTCCTGATATGATGTCTTCTTGAGCTCGCTCTGTTGTTTTATCTGTTACTTTACTTTTGCTTGCTATAAACCCATTTACTCAAACTCATATTGCAACGCTAGATCTTCTTTTGATACAAAAGTGGAGTATACACTGAGACTGGGTATCCAAACAAATTGTATGGGCATATCCATAGCAACACTACTGACGATCGCCAAAATGGAGAAGTAACTCACATGTGCGTAAGCGAATGGATGGGCAAACAAGATTCGATGCACCATATGGCGGAGTATTATGTATCCAGGAAGAGTAATGTGTAGGGGGTGGTGCATGACTTGGTGACAAAGCGCTTGCCTTGCATACTTGAGCTCTGAATCCCGGTCACTGGGGAGGAGAATGAACGACACCTGTTCAATGTGACGTGCAGCCAGGCAAGCCAGACACCAAAGCTCGCAAAGTTTGATTCCATCTGTACAAAGTATGCAAGTCTTTGGAAGCACGCTAGAGATGAGCGGTGACAGGGCAGAAGGCAGGGGGTACCAGGAAGCAAGCACTCTGTAGGGTCAGGGTGTCTTTTCAGGGTGACGGGAACAGTTGTGGATCATGACATCACATGGTGAATGATGGAGATGCTGCTTTAAGACGGCGAGTCGTGTCATATGGAACTAACCACATCTTTATTTCTTTAAGAAAAGGAGAGGTGGGCCTCTTGGGGAAGAATCGACAACGTCAAAGACCCAGGCTCCCAATCCCAGTAGCCTCTCCCATCTTCTACCCTCCAGGTGCCCTGAAACCAGTCTCCCTCCCTCTGCACTTGTGGCTGTGGCTTAGACTGCCCTTGCCCTGAAGTCAGTCTCCCTCCCTCCTACAGTGCCTCTGCTGCTTAGACTGCCCTTCCCCCACTCTGGGCCCTGCTGGTCTCACTGTCCTCCATACCCCACCTAGCTGTCCCCCTTTCCATGAACACTTGGCTCCTATCAGCGGGTTATATTTCTTCTCCACTCTCCACTGGAGAGGAATTTAGCCTCGGGTTGCATCCCTTCCCTGCAGGACCCCGAACAGTGTGCATGCTGGTTATGAACTTGCTGACTGGTCTCAGGGACAGACACCAGGATCTTCCCAGCAAATAAAGGAACAGTGTTTATGCTGACAAGATGCCACCCTTAATGGGCCCAGTCCTAGGCTGTACACACGGTTGGTGCTCCTGCACCGATGTCCTCTTTCTCCTTGGGTGCCCTGCTCATTGGAACGGGAGGCTACAGCAGTGCAGGATCAGGGATGAAGCCCAGGGCAGGTGTGTGGACAGAGTAGATGAGGCAGGCAAGAGGGTACATGGTACGCAGCACCCACAGACGGACCCAGTAACAACCCTGGGAACCCTGAAGGGACCCGCCAGACACTGCTTGGGATGTCCGTAGCAGAGGAAAAGGACAGACGGTGCAGACATGGGGTGAGAGACATGGCGTTAGATAATGGGTCTCACCTGGGTGTCCACAGCACCTCACCCATCAATCTCCCACTGCAAAACTGGTCATAGTACTCAGGTTAAAATTCTTGTTTCCTCCTCAGGTAGCCAGACCCAATGCAGCTTGGTGCTGGCTAGGCAGGCCACACAAGACCTGGTATATTACAAAAGCTGTTTCTCCCTTTGCTCTGGATACCAGGGAGCTCTGGGCCAAATGTTACTTCACATCATGTTGGTGAACCTCTATGTTATGTTGATACAGCGGAGTTCCCCTGCTCCAGTCTTACTGTCTTTTTGGGACTCTCAGACTACGCTGCTTCCAGATTTTTGGGACCATGATGAGTAGGCAAGCCTGCCTTGTCAGTTTCCCTGAAGGTTTTATAATGGGTGGGGTCCTGGTAACTGTCCCTCCAGGCCCAGCCTGATCCCAGGCCACTCTTGCGCTCTTCCTGTCCAAACGCACAGCCCCTACCCCCGCCTTCCCCTCCTCCTCTGCACTCCTGGCCAAGCTCCTGGCTGTGGACTAAGCACGAATGTCTGGGCCCCAGGAAACCAGGGCAGCCAGGCACTGGGCTTCCAGCCAATGCCTCACACCTCTCTCCTGGGAACCAGGGTGCAGCCTCTTCCTGGCAATCTTTCATGAGGTCATACTGCCATGGCCCATCTAGAATTCTCACAGCTCAGGCCATGGTCGGAGAGGAAAGAGGGCAGCGGCCGGGGACCTGGTCCTGAATAGATGCCTGCAAGGGTTCTCCACGCTTAACAAATTCCCCGCCCTCCCACCCCTCACCCCTGCACGCCTGCCCAGTAATGACCTTGAGCTGGCACAGCTTCCTTCTGAGCCAAGGTCTTTCCAGACAGAGTAAAGGGGCCTGTTGACTTTTGCCATCTGTGGAGTCCTGAGTCCAAGATGCCTCTGACAGGAAGCTTGGGGGCCAGGGCTCCCACACTCTGAGGCAGAGAATCAATAGCACCCTGATTCAGCTCCAGCCAGGGCAGGCTGGCAGCCATGGATTCTGACACTGGCTCCCACGCCAACCTGCCACATAAAGGACACTAAAGACCCCAGCTCCCAACAGGAGTTTTCAGTGGCCTCCTGTACAAAGAAGTCACAGGCAGGCAGTGTGAGTCCAGTGTGGCCTGCAGTCGGACTTTAAAATCTTACAGTTAGCACTTTCAGAAATCAGGGTAGGGGACTGAGGTATGGCTCAGTGATAGAGTGCTTGCCTAACATGCATGAGGCCCCCAGGTCAATCCCAACAATCATTAAAAAATAAAACCACCCCTCCCCGAAAAGCCCAAAGCAAAAAAACTAGAAAAAAGAAAGAAATCTGAGAACATCATTTAATAATCAGCATCTGGCTTTTCTTGGAAAAGTGGGCACTGTGGTCATGCTGGGCAACCAACCACGTGGTCCACGTGGGAAGAAAAGGTCTTCTGCAATTCACCCCAGACACCTCCACCTGCCCCTACCCAGGTCTTTATGCTCCCTGCTGGACCCTGGGGGAGTTTCAAACCCATTTTTAGCCCAAGACTTTTCATTTACAAGAAGTCCTTAGAATAGCATCTCAGCCCACTTCAAAAACAGGTCAGAGTGAAATGGCCTTAGTGGCCAGGACCAGGGCTGGTGTCCCCTGCCCACTAATATGATCCCAGCAGGAGCCTCTGAAGAGAGCACAGGCTGAAAGTCACTAATATGCCCAAAGCCTGCAAGGGTTCTGTCTGCATACCCCTGCTTTCACAAAGCCTGAAGATGGGGAGCTAACCACCCACAGAGATTATCTTCTTGTAGCCCCTCCTTAATAACTAGAGACTCCCAGGTCCCCCTAGGCTAGGGAGAGCAGTAGGTTCCCCTAAGGCTGAGCTTCCCCTCCTCCAGCCACTGTGCCTGGTCACAGCCCACAAATCCCTGTACTGTACCTTCAGCTCATTGAGATAGCGCCTCGTATGCACCACCAGCAGGTCCTCTTCCGAGGCCTCCCGCGCCTCCACCAGCATGCCATCCGACAGCAGCTTCTCTTCTGGAACCACAGAACAAGACCCTGCTTCCTTTCCATTGACTCCCAGGCCAGGCACAGCCCCCAGGCCCTCCCCAGGCTGCAGGCTGGGTATTCTGAGAATGGCTGTCTCCCTAGTCCAGTGTGTCCAGGGGCTAGGCTCTCTGCCTCTGAGTGTTGAGCTTAGAAAACACAGCAGTCTCCATGTTTTCTGCGCTGCTAACAGTCACCAGGTGACCTCAGGTACAACTGGATGACTTCCAGAAGCAGGCAGCACAAGGAACAGGGCTGCTCTCAAGGTAGAAAAGGCTCCTCTTACAACTCACCCTCAACAGGTTGCTTAGGATTTGTGGCTTCTCCTCAGACTCTTCCTGAGTCTTGCTAACCAAAGGACAGCAGTGGTTCACAGACGGCACAAGCCAGAGTCAAACAACTGCTGTTTTCAGAGCACTGCCTTCCTGCTGGAACCTTCTATTTATGGCAAGTGAACGGCCTTTTCCCATATTGATGACATGGGTTTCTTAAGTTAAAAAAAAATTCTAAGTCTCAGTCATTTAAAAATATGCGGTAAAATCGACGGGCCAGTGGCACAATGGATAAAAATATGCAACAAATATAGGGGTAAGTGGTATAGGGGAAATCAGGGTGTCTGAGTGGTTTGCAGAAGTCTAGTGTCTGTTTTCTGTATATGACGACCAAAGATTCACTTCACTTTGCACAAGCAACTGAGGCTAAGAGAGGGCGCTGCCCCAGAGTATTGTGAGACTGGGCCATGATGCTCTGGATTCTAGAGAAATCAGAATATAGGGTCTATTTTCAATGAGTCATGCTCAGAAACCAACCAGTCCCATCCACTTCTACACACAGATCCAGGCAGGTGCTCCCTCCTGCAGCATCCCATGGCCTGGGGCACAGCCAGACTCAGCAAGCTCCCTTCCTGCCAGGGCCTCCAAAGAGCCTGTCCTGTGGTCCTGCCTCCCAGCCCTCCTCATCCTCAGAGGAACAGCAGCAGAAGGGACTGGCTGCTTGCTCCCAGCTGAGGGAGATGTGGCACCCTTCTGTTGGGCCACGGGGAAAGGCAGGAGCCCAGGGGGCAGAGAAAGCACCAATAGGAAACCGCTTGTGCAGGCAACAGATGTGCAAAGCCAGCGTCCCAGGCTCCCACCACACCACACATCACTTGCGTGCTTTCTACTTCATGTTTTTCCTTGGATGTTCGGCCGGTACCTACAGAGGAGGGGAAAGCTGCACCACTTGTCTTAGAAAGAAGGTCACCGGAGGAACAAAAACAAACCCAACAGAAACAGCTGTGTTATTAATTGTCTAATCTGGTACTATTTTCTGCACGAAGCGGAGCTGGGGGCCTGCTCTAGATTTTTAGGAGGGGAGGGGAGGACTATTTCTAACTGGAGGGAATATGAGACAGGGCCCACTGTGCTTAGCAGCCTGCCTGGAAAGACCCTTTAACAGCAGAAGGCAGTCTAGGGCTGAATTTGGATAAGGATGGTGGGATGGATGCAGAGATGGAGGGGGCAGATGCAAGCCTGAGGGGGAGGGGCGTGCTTTCTTACCTTTCAGGAAGTTGATCACCTTGCCCCATTTTCCAGCATCGAAGGGGTGCAGCTTCTCCAAGCCCATGAAGGTGATGTTGTAACGTGGCGAGTACACGATGGGCCAGCGTTTCTCTGGTACATGCTGGTACAGCTGTGTTGCGTGCGGCCTTCGATGTGCAAAGAGACAGACGCAGATATGGCAGGCAGCCTCCTAGTAGAAAGCTGTTTCCCCCTCCCCATTCACACCAGGAGATCGCTTAACACCAACAAGAATGACAACAGCTCCTTTCTGAGCCCTGGCGGGCTTTGCCTAAAACCGCTTCCAACTCAATCCTCACAGCAGCTCTGGGGACCAGGTGTGCCCAAGGTCACATGCCAGTGCCAGGTGTATTCAGTAGTGCTGGCGCCAAGGCCCAAGGCCTGCACGGGGGAAGGCGGGAGGAGGGGGGCGGAATGTGGCTGTCTCACGAGTCAGCTCACACATCTGCGAAGCTGGGAACAAAATGCGCTGAGGGGTAGAGGGGCCTAGATCGCGACTGCAGGAGGCTGTGCCCTCGTCGCAGCACCCTGCAGCCCACCGCGGTGCCCTGGGGAGGGGAGACCTATCGTTCGCCCTCCCCGTCTCCTAGCCCGCCCCACCTGTCCCGCCGCGCCCACGGGGACCCCCAACACCTATACTTGGCCCCATGCACGACCCCGCACACTCACATCCCGCAGCCGACCCTGCCTGCTCTGGCCGCCACTCCGCACCGGGAGGGGTGGGAGGAGTGTAAGGGGAGGGGCCGGCGTAGAACACGCCTCCGTGGCGCTGGGAACTCGGGGTGGAGCTCTGGCCTGCAGCTGCGTCACAGACAACCGGCCAAGAGGAGGGATCCAATGGAGTCCCGCCTGGGGGATGTGGTCACGCGCAGCTCCGCCCGCATTCCCAGGGTAGAAATAAGCAGACACTTGTTTAGGTGGTGTGATCTGATCAAGGGCTTCTCTGCGCCGTTTGCGCCTTTGGCCTCAGTGTGGAAAGTGGTGGATCTGCTCTGGGTCTACCATCCCCGATGTGTGTTCCCTCCTGGGCTGCAGTCCTCCACTCCTGTACCATCTGTGGCTTCTTCATCATGATATAAGCACTCCCTACTTGTCATAACATTCTTTGAACCTCAGGTTCACTATCTGTAGGACAGGCCTGGTGGTCCAGTCTTTAGGGTACAGTCTTGTATATTTGAACATTTCTCCTGTCTCCATTCCCCCTACATCCTGACCCTAGAAACTGAACGGCAGCTGGGTATGTGTCTGGAACCTGGGAGGAAGCCCCAACAATAGAGCCCAGAAGAAAAGACAATCCGTCTCTGTTGGCCCAGCTGTCTCCATCAGCCAAACAGAGGCAGCTGAGCAGGGGCTGCCAGGAGCTAGCATGGCAGCTGGGAGCCTAAGGGCTCCAGGGTCATGTGAAGGGAACCAGCAACATTTTTGTTTTTGTTTTTCGGGCGGTGGGGGCAGCGTGCCAGTGTGAAAGTGTAGAGCAGAAAACAGCTCTGTGCAGACAATTTTCTCCCTCCACCTTTGTGTGGGTTTCAGGTGCTCTGGCCTGGACACCAATAGCATGTATTTGCCAGCTGAGTTCTATCATGGACTGACAGTTTTGAAGAGTGCCTTCGATGTGCCTACTGTTAGACAATTTTCAGAAAATATAACATAGATTGTGAAAGATGCTGAGACATACTGTCCTTGGGAGTGTGAGGCCATTCAGGAGTCACTGCACCAGCCATCGGTATTAGGGTGGAGCCTGAAGAGACAAAACCTTCAGTTCAGAAGACAAAGGCAATTCCTTGTTCTTAGAAGTTTGTCGGAGTTTCCATACCATGTGACCTAGCCTTTGTGCTGGGAGTTACAGAGCCTGAACCATGGTCGATAAGGCAGTGAAGTTATAATTCACAGCTGCTTTAGGCTTGTGCAGGAAGAGGGAACGGTGTTTGATTATCACAAACTAAGAGGGGGGTCTTCCATATCTCTTTGTTATCACAAGGCTCCAGCTTGTATTCAACCCAGACTGGGCATCTGCCAGCATCCTGATCTAGGGAGGTTGAATCAGCTCTCTGGGCTTTCGCTCCTACATTTAGAGAGGAATAAGGTGATTCTGACTGTCCACGTTCCAGGGAAGCCAAGAGACTCCAAAGATAACATCAGCTCTTACTGAGTGCCTGTCCGGTGCTAGGTCATTCCCAAAAACCTCATGCATATTGAACTCCAAAAAACTCTGGAAAGCAAACTATCCCCATTTTATACAAGTGAAACTAAGATTAAAAAAAAATAGAGTGAAGTCATTTGCCCAAATATCAGGGGTGTGGATAGATGTGTAAAACTTAGTGACAAAACAACAACAAAGACCCATGTTATACTGCCAGAGAGGCTGGTCTCATCTCAGGGGACTTACTTGCTCTGGGGTTTGGGAAAGCGACACAGGTGAGCATCCGGTCAGGATCATACAGCATTTAGGAGCTGAGGCCCAAGAGAGCAGAGTTGGTCTGAGAGTATGCCCTCAGTTTTGTTTCTGTGTCTGAGGATGGAGGTAGTCTGAGGAACACTGGAGATTGTGAATCCCTTCAGCCTCACTGCAGGCTGGACCACCTGCACTGACTGTCACAGGAGTGAGAATGAGCTATGTGATTAAGCAGTTGAATTGGGGGGGGCTCCTTATTACAGCGTCCTCACACATCTGTTGAGACCCAGCAACAGGGCCACAGAAGTGCACACAGTAGTCAGAGTAGAGACCCTCGGCCAAGTCCATGGGAAGTAGAAGGAACAAATCTTTTACCTTTAAAAGTGAGTGTGGGGTTTTTGCCTGCATTTATGTCTATGCACCACACATGTGCGGTGTCCATGGAAGCCAGAAAAGGATGTCGGATCCCCTGAAATTGGAGTTACAGATCGTTATTAGCCACCAATGTGGGTGCTAGGAATTGAACTCCAGGTCCTCTGGAATAACACAGCCAGTGTTCTCACCCACCGAGTCATCTTTCCAGCCCCCAGGAAATGGAACAGAGTCATCTCTCCAGCCCCCAGAAATGGGAGTCGTAATATCTAAATGTTGTATTGTTGTAAACTGTACAAGCTGAGGCCAGAGGCAGTGGTGGGCCCTGGTTCACAGCAGCCTGGGAGGGCTGCTTCCACGAAGTGGTGTTACTTTTAGACTGCATTTTCACAGTGTCGTTGTGATAAGACACTGGTTTACTGAACACTGTATGTTTACTACCCTTTCCCTTTTACACCGTTCATATCATCTTGGGATATATTTCAATTAAAAGTGAACAAGAGCTGCAGGTGCACCAGACTTAGCATAGTCCTGGATGTCATACCATCCCCCCTCCCTGTCCAATCCAAATACAGAATTCCCTGTGCAATACAGAGGTGCTAGGGGTTGCAGGGCTCCCGTGTGGAGCTTTCTGACAGCTGCCAAGCTCAAGCAGAGCTAAGCTGGTAGGACTTCTGACTGACAGCTCATCCACCGCCCCCCCCCAACTAAACTGACAGGAAGAGCTCCAAATACACCCAGGGCAGGGAAGCAGACTGCAGATCCTCAAGGATGTTGCCCTAGCAACATCGCCATAGCAACAACAGCAACCACTGGCTATTGGACATTGCAGCAGTTTCTGGTGCAAAGGTGATCAGAGCATTGCTATGGTAACCAGAAACTGAGGGAACTAGGTTTGACAGCTCAGTGCCCACTTCCTTAACATCATGGTGAGGGACGTGGGACATGTCGACCTAATTGAAAACACCTTCAAGTTTAGGTAGGCTTTCTCATTCTCTCAGATTTGACAGCTATACCCTGATTGGTCCCATTTTGTACCTTACTTTTGTGTACACACATTCAGCCAATCAGAGCTCAGCAGTCCCTGTTGCTAAGCCAGAGGAACTCTAAAGGAGCCACTCTCTCCTTGAAGGACGGGTCCAGACATGGTTTCTAGAGGACTTCTGCTCTGCCAGGGGCCTGGCTCTTTGAAGAAGGAAGACCAATTTGAGTACTTGCCTAAGATAGACCCACTGGGGACTCCTGGTGTATGGAAAAGGGTCCAGCCAAAGAAACACACCCTGAGCAGAGTCAAAGAAACATACTTTGGCCCTGCAAACAGAACCAAAAATATGCACCCTGACCCTGAAACCAGCGCCAAAGAAACAGACTTTGTCCCTGGAATCAGAGCCAGTGAAAGAAATACATCCTGGCCCTAAAACTAGAACCAAAAGGCTAAAAGGGTCCAGGGAAAGAAACACACTTTGGCCCTAAAACCAGAGCCAAATCTGACCCTAACCCTGTGCAGAAAACTAACCAATCCTTGAGCAGGACTCCAGTCAATCTGAACTCAGCATTGAAATCTGACCAATTCCCACTCTGGAAACCCCCACCCCCACCCCAGAAGCCATATATAAACCCTGTGTATGTTCAGCTTGTGGCTGTTCGTGCTACCCAGATGTCCTCTGCCACTCTGACAGAGGGCAGCCACTCTCCTGGATCCTTCCCTCACAATAAACCCCTTTGATGAGCTTTGGGTGAAGACTTTGTTTTGCGACTGAGCAGAGACAACCCTGGGCAGAACTAAGCAAGCAGAGCTGTAACACTTTTGCCAGGGAAACCTTCCCCTGGCAGAGAGGAGTTGTTACACTCAGCTCTCCGCGCTCTCCCGGGAGCAGAGCTGAACTGTAGCAACTTCGCCTGGGAAACCTCCTGCTGGAGCAAAACTGCTACAATGGGCAAACATCCCCAGCTGGAAGACCCTTTCCTGCTGGAGCAGAGCCGATATACTGGGGAACCCTTTCCCTTGAAGCAGGGCTGTAAGCTGCTATGCTTACTGTGGCTTGTGGCATTCCTTGGCTCCTGAGCTCCAGGATACTTTTCCGCCTGAGTTGTGCAACACTCAGAATTCTGTGACTCCCGAGTGCCAGAATACCTGTCCCATCTGATCCATCAAAATGCCTACAGCTGGAGTCTGAGACAACCTTCAAGATGCCATACCTGGGTCACATAGGAGCATAACTTCCCGCAGCTGTTTCCAGCCCCTAAGAAACCTTTGCTCCTGCTAATCCTGTAGCTTTTATAGGTGTCTGTGAGCACACAGGAAAACGGAAAGTGACTCTATATCTCTGCTTTTTCCTTCCTCTGCTCCAAGCCCTCCCTGTGTGCCTCCTGTTCACCATCCCAATGTCCTCCTTGCTCTCAATTCTCAGCCCCTCCCCTGACTCTTCAGCTCTTGAAACTCCATCCTTCAACACAGAAGATAAGTCCCCTTCTCCTCCCCCTCATCAGTTGTCTTCCCAACCATCTTCTTTGTCCATGACCATCCCCACTCCTCCATCTACCTGGATTTCAACAGAGCCAGAAGGACCAGCCTCTATTTCCTTGGTTGCCACTCTCCTCTCCCTCATTTCCTCCATTCCATCCAGTCCACCCCCAACTAGTCCAACTAGTCCCCCTCCTGTTTCCAGTCCTCCTCACACTCACTTTCATGATAGATTGTGCTTGGTCCCAGTCTCAATCTTGCTCCTCAGAGAAGGGGTGGGCATGGAGGGCCCTGCTGGTGTTTACGTCTTATTCTCTCTTAGTGAACTAGCTCAGGTTGAAAAACCTTTTGGGCTCTTTTACCTTAGATCTCACAACCTTCATCAAACAATCCCAATACCTAGCCCAGTCCTACGACCTTACCTTTCGTGACCTCTGTGTGATCCTCTCTAATATCTTACTCCCTGAGGAATGCAGACATGTCTGGGAGAACATATGACCATGCAGATCAAATCCATCAGACAGACAGATTTTTGCCACCAGGGCCACTGCAGTCCCTGACACAGTCCCTCAACCGGACTACAACTGCAATGC